GGGTTCAGTTTTTCAACTGTTTGCTTACCAACTGTGACTTGGATTGATTACTTGTTTTTTACAGTCTCTTATGCATCTAGATCAGTGATCGGAATGAGAGATAGAGCATATAGGTAGCCATGTGAGATTTGAGCCTGCTCGTTTCTTTCTTGTGCGATAGATCCCTCTTCCATGATGTGTAGCATTCACGTGTCATTAGCTAAGATGATGGAGGCATAGGATAAGCCCACGACCAAATTGACTGTCCTGGTGTGTCATACCCCCTAGTCAGCCCCTTTGAGCCGTGTGTTTTCCTTTCTTTCGGTCTTCAATGAAAAGTCACCCTTTTGCATCTTTTAGAAGGTTCCACAGAGTGATGTTTACATGTTCTCTGCTGTTTCTGCTAAATGTAATGTGAGAGTTGGAGGTAGTTCTTAAAAAGTTGGGCAGTTGTTTGAGAATGTGCAGAGGTGGTGGTTCTCTTAAGAAATGAAAAAAAATGAAAGAAAAACAAAGAAAAAATGAAAGCAAAAGAGAGCCACCACCAAAAAGTCTGAATAGTGCCCATTAAGTAGTGTTTCTTAGCAGTCTGGCATAGAAATGCTAGCATTTATGTGACCTCCTACGCTCTTGTGCTCTGAAGAATTTGAGTAATGCAAAATAGCAGAAAGAAAGTAGTGGTTTGATTGACTGTGAGTTTGTTGGGTTTGGAAATGTGGAACCTTGTGCTATGAATACTTCCACCACCAAAAAGGCATTTTCCCCATGTCCAAGACCCTAGCCAGTCACTTGAACCTGTGTCTAAGACCTCCGGATTAGTTAGTGATGACAACCATTTATGTGAACTCTAACATTTAGAGGCTGCCGTCATGGTGAAGAGACGTTAGGGATTGAGAGAATAAGCATGCGCATTTTTCGCATCAAATTGACCTGACCCCACTAGTCGAGAGTGAGCGATTCATTTCCTTGTTCTTTACACTCTTTACCCGGTGAGGACCTAGATGGCTCGGTCTTGATTCTGATGTCTTGAGTTTTATGCATGAGTTGACTGTCTTGAGTAAGTGGTTGAGTCAAGTCTAGGTTGGTTGATGAACAGAAGGGAGACTCCTCCTTTACTCGATTTTGCTGCGCTCGAATGTCTTCTGTGGTGGTTGTCCAGGTTGCTATTGAGGTTGTTCATGTGTTGATGTTTGAAAGCCAGTATGATTCACGTGTTTCTGTGCCTATATGATTTGTCCCCAATGTTGGTATGGTTGAAATATGTAAGCTTACCTTGTGTCTGACTTGGTTTGCTTGGGGACAAGCAAACGGTTAAGTGTGGGGGAGTTTGATAAACCGTTAATTGCACATGTTTTTACCCCTATTCTGGAGACGTTTGAGGTGTTGATTCTCGTGTTTTAGACCGATTTCACGCTAGATTGTGCTTGGTTGTGATATTTCAGGTCCTAGTATGTGAATGAAGGTTTGGGAGCGAGTTCGGGGTCGATTGGATGAAGATCGGACGCGTGGCGAGTCGCTGAGGAAGTCACACGGGCACACACAAAACCCACACGGCCGTGCAAGTAGTCAATGTGGCCGTGTGGGATTGTGCGAGCCTTCACACGGGCAGGAATACATCTCACACGGCCGTGTGAAGTTGTAATGTGGCCGTGTGGAATTCTGCGAGCCTTCACACGGGCAGACTGGGTGAGCCACACGGCCGTGTGTCCCTGGCCGTGTAGGTAGCCTGAAACCACATAATCCAAACGCGGCGTTTTGTGTCTCACACGGGCAACTGGGTATGCCACACGGCCGTGTGACCCTGCCCGTGTGAGTCGGGATTTTCTGGTTTTAAGCCAATTTCTAGCCACAAGTGAGGGGGATTCGAGTTTTAGAGAGACAGAGCGGTTCCTAGAGAGAGAAAGCGACGAACAAGAGTTCCCAAGTGCCCTAGCTTGATCTTCATCACCGTTGGAGCTTGGCTTGAGCCGGGAGTAGTGCCGATCGACGCCCAGGAGCAGAAATCCATCCTTCACAGTATGGTTTCCGCATCTGAATCTGCTTTTGCTTCTATCTCCTTGCAGTAGTTCTCCGATTCATCTGGGTATGGGAAACCCTAGATTTGTATGTTAGGTTTGATTGTATGAACCCAAGTACAGATTCTATGATTTGATTATATTCAATTGAGGTTTGAATGATTGAATGGCCTGAATCCTGATCAAAATCTGTTGTTTCTGCTTTAACCTAGAATGAGAATATCTGCCTAGGTTGATAGAGCATCCTTAATTGAAGGTAGTGAATTGGGGACTTTAGTCGAGGAGCCAATTCACTATTCTGTACCGAATTCAATTCGGTAGTGGAGGTTTTGTTCGTTAGGGCCTCAATCTGTTTACTCCGGTGGAGGTTAGTCGCCCGCTAGAGACTCAGATTGAGAGGGTCTAGAGACCTTTAGTCGAGACTTCAGACTGTTTAAGAACCTTCCGCAGTATAACTATCATAGAAATTGAACTTGGTGAATTGCAATCCGGCTTAACTGCAGTCTAGGGGGAACCATATCCGGGTGACCTCTCTCGACTTGAAAACAACCGTTTAACTTGCTTTGTTTGTTTGTTAATTTGGATTTTCACTAAGTTTCACTGCTAGAAAACAAGAATTCACCGAGTAGTCATCAAATCTAGGACCCGGGTTGACATTAAAACCCAAACCCGCTATACTACGCTTTAGGAAGTGGTTTCACTTGGCCATTTTCAAGAGTGACAGTAGGAGTGAGTCAAGTTTACTCGCTGTTGTCTCCTAAGTTGGCGACAGGTGCGTTCAAGCTCCGGATCCAACGACAGTAAACTTCCTGACTAGCTACGGGTCATGCACTACCTGCACATAGTCAAGCAGCAAACCCGTTAAGACACAAGTGGGACAAAGCAAACAATTGGAAAAGGAAAGGTAAATTAACAGAATTCATGTTTCTTCAACAACCTAGCCGTCCCCGGTAACGGCGCCAAAAACTTGACTCACTCCTACTGTCACTCTAGAAAATGGCCAAGTGTAACCACTTCCTAAAGCGTAGTATAGCGGGTTTGGGTTTTAATGTCAACCCGGGTCCTAGATGTGATGACTACTCAGCGAATTCTTATTATCTAGTGGTGAAACTTTAGTGCAAGTTCAAACAAGCAATTAAACGGTTTTTTTCAAGTCGAGAGAGGTCACCCGGTTATGGTTCCCCCTAGACTGCAGTTAAGCCGGATTGCAATTTACCAAGTTCAGTTTTCATGATAGTTATACTGCGGAAGGTTCTAAAGAAGTCTGAAGTCTCGACTAAAGGTCTCCAGACCCTATCAATCTGAGTCCCCAGCAGGCGACTAACCTCCACCGGAGTAAATAGATTGAGGCCCTAACGAACCAAACCTCCACTACCGAAGTAAATTCGGTACAGAATAGTGAACTGGCTGATCGACTAAAGTCGCCAATTCACTACCTTCAATTAAGTGTGCTCTATTAACCTAGGCAGATATTCTCTTTCTAGGCTAAAGCAGAAATAACAGGAATTTGATCAGGATTCAAGTCATTCAATCATTAAAGCCTCAATTGAATATAATCAAATCATAAAATCTGTACTTGGGTTCATACAATCAGACCTAAAATACAAATCTAGGGTTCTCCATACCCAGATGAATGGGAAAACTACTCCATGGGGAGAGAAGCAAAAGCATATTCAGATGCGGAAACAATACTGTGAAGGATGGGTTTCTGCTCCTGGTCGTCAATCGGCACTTCTCCAAGCTCAAGCCGGGCTCCAATGGTGATGAAGATCAAGCTAGGGCACTTGGGAACTTTGGTTCGTCACTTTCTCTCTCTAGGAATCGCTATGTCTCTCTAAAACTCTGAACTCCTTCTCCTTTGGCTCAAATCTGCCTAAAAGGCCGACCCTGGGCAAAACACGGTCGAGGGCACGGCTGTGCTTTGGTTTTTCCCGCCGGTGTTTTGCCACGTGTTAAGAACACGCCCGCGTCGGCCAAAACACGGTCGTGCCTAAATATGGACACGACCGTGTTTTGATTTAGGCCAGCCCGTGTTTTGCTTTTCCATCAGTTCAGCTCTCGGCAATAAAAACACTGGCGTGCCTGTTTGTGTACATGGTCGTGTTTTGGTTTAGGCCAGCCCGTGCTTTGACCCCAGCTCGACCGAATGACTTCCAAATGCCCCGAAACTCGTGCTTAGCCTTTCCTTCGATGTCTGGACCTGAAATATGACAAAGTAGCACAACTCAGCGTAAAACGGGCCAAAAATACACGACTACTAGCCGCAAATGGATAAGAACTAAGGGTGCAAACATGTGCAAATACATCGCTATCAGTTGGTTTCACTATGCGAAATTAATCTTTTAGTCCTTATTTTGTTTTACAATAACCCTTAAGTCCATTTGGTAGATTACATCCTAGTCATATTTTACAATTACAATACATAAGTAATGACGGGGCGGATATGGGTATGGGTATGGGGCGGAGCACTCAAATCAATCCCCGCCCCATCCTCACAAGATTCTTTGCCGGTATTACTTGTATCCACCCCATACCCAGTCAATGCAGGGATTCCCATCGTTGATCGGGTAGGGTAGGGTAGGGTCGGATACCCACGATTACCAATGTTGTCAGAACCGAGCCGGAGCATGACCCGATAATGTGAACGGCTTGCACTTTAGTGATCCAACCGGTATTTGGAAGTTTAAAAACCGTTAGAGAACTGTTACATTAAAAACTATAATATAATAAGTACAAGACATATAAAGCAATAACTTAACAATTCAATGGCTAAAATCAAATTTATTTTGCAGGTACCACTTAGTAATTTTACAATACATATATATTTAACAACTAAGGAATCCCCACCTATCCCAACCCTAGCGGCGGCCTCATCCCCCCCCCCCCTCCCTCTCTCTCTTATTTCCTTCTCATTCATTTTCCTGTTCTGTTTCGTCCAACACTGCAACTTGAAGGAAAAGGGGCAAGGAAGAGAGGTCGGCACCGGCTGGAAGGAGAGTCAGCAATATGATTACGAAGAGTTGGGTCATCTTGTCGCTAGGTCGTCGTCGTCATAGGGCAGAGAGGGTGAGTAGATTGTTGGGTGCTCGTCGTCGCTTGGTTTGCCGGCAGGAGAGCTTGCCAAATCGACGAGTTGTGCATCCAAATCATCAAATCAACTGGGGGCGAAGAGGCCGAGGTCGCCTCTGGGTTCTGTCGACGGGGACTGAGCTCGAGGACTGGCGATGGGTGCTGGCGACGGAAGCGGCGCTCCTACTGTCTACACGAGAGGCGAAGAAGAGAATGAACTGAAGAATCTGAATAAGGGTTGTTTGACAGCCCGACATTTTCCTCTTTCCTTCCCGTTTTCAATTTTTTTTATTAAAAATCAATCGGCCGAAATGGAAAGCTGAGTGTTCGGCTCGAGCGGCCCGGGTGGTTAACCGTCCCGGCCGCTCGTCGCCCGCCCCAAAAACCCGTTCCGGCTAAATGGCGGTGCCGAGCCGATTTGACAGCCGGGTGGCGGTTTAACGGTCCGACCGTCCGGCTCGGCTCGGCTTTGATAACACTGACAATTACGGCTATAATTGTCATCCCTAGCTGTTTGCTTGCGCTGCCAAAATAACCAATTATTGTGTACCCACCCGATTTAAATTGATTTTTTTTGAAAAATTAAATTTGATATATTTTGAGGTGGTGTTTTTTACAATGTCAAAAACCAGTTGATCCCAATAACTCGAGTTGTTGGGAGAGGTTCAATCGTGGATCATATACCACAACACTAACACGCACCCTCAAACGAAAGCCACTCACAAGGGCTTGAAGTTTGCACAGGTTTGAAGACAAGAATACCATGTGCTTAACAAATGGGGTCACCGGGAATCGAATACAAGACCTCTCGGTCACAGAAGGCTCTGATACCATGTCAAGAACCAGTTGATCCCAATAACTCGAGTTGTTGGGAGAGGTTCAATCGTGGATCATATACCAAACACTAACAGAAGGCAAATGATTTGCGGCAATTTTGACCTTTTAAGTACTCGCATCCAACTCGTCCATGTATGTGTTATAATTATGTTATATACTCACTCGCTTAATTATTTTATTTATTCACACCCCTCAAACCATTATACTTATCTCTTAAATCTAAAATTTTATTATTTTCTCTCAAGTTTACATATAATGTGACAGAAAAAAACTTCAATTTATGTTGACATTCTAAGAAATTTTTTAGATGATATAACCGTTTTGGATTTTGCTACGGTGACATGCATGTCATCGTGACATGAACTTTTCGGTCGACCTAATCTTAAAGGCGGTCGACCGAATTGACTAATTTGGGCAGCACGAGAAATCATTCCGGTCGACCTAATCCTTAAGGCGGTCGACCTCAATTCATAGCATAATTGATGAGTCCTTGTTATCATTATTTATGACTAGTTATGATGGTTTAAAGCGTAATTTAGATGAGCAAAAGAACCACACAAATTGACATACATAAGCAAAAAAGACACGGGGTATAGGTTGACTTTCTTGTATTCGGTCGACCTCGTACCGGATTAGGTCGACCTCGACACCAACACTTGATTTTCATTTTACGTCAAATGATTGGATTAATTGATAGAACACTTATCGTCTATCTGGTCGACCTCTTTCTTTATCTGGTCGACCATGTTGTTAATGACTGCCATCAAGTGGTCGACCTATATACCTTTATGGTCGACCATATTGTTTCTGACGCCAACGAAATGGCCGACCGAGGTTTATTCTGGTCAACCAAAAATAACAACTTAAACTAAGAACGGTCGACCAGGTGGTCTTTGAGGTCGACCGCAATGCTTTATCGTGCTGCCCAAATTAGTCAATTTGGTCGACCGCCTTCAGGATTAGGTCGACCGAAAAGTCCATGTCACGGTGACATGCATGTCATAGTAGACATACCCAAAAGTTTTTGTATATGATATTTTCTAGCGGATTATCACATCTTACGTCCTTTAAGTGGTTGATCTACTTATCGCTCGGGAGGGTTTGCTTCTGGTGCATAATCTTCTCTTTAAGATGTCATCGATGACACTGATTCAAAAGTAGTTTGTTGCTTTGCTCATGGTTTAGACTCTAATATAAATGACAATGTTGATTTTCAAGATTGCTTTCAGATTGTTATAGCGATGAATTCATCATTGGAGTTTATAACGGTTTTTAGAACTATCATCTTGGTTGTCCATAATATAGCACACATTGTCTTTCTTTAATTTGGTTAGATTCTCCACGTTTGATTTTATTTCCTGAGTTGATAGGGGATTTTAGGATAGTTTGGTAGCTGTTTTTATAAGTGAAAGAGGTTTGTTTGAATGGTTAAGTGCTATTTAAAAGATTTGTACATAAAGTTTCTAGGTTCAAATAAATTAGCTGTAGTACTACTAGATCAAAGCTTTATTTGCTTTAGTTGGCTAGTATTTCTGTTAGTATATATCATACAAAAAAAAATCTTTAATCCGTTGAATTTGATCCAAATAAATTATAGGGTGCGCTTACAGTGACATGCATGTCACGGTGGCTTGCACTTTTAGGTTGACCTCGGTTAGGATTAGGTCGACCTCATTGAGGATTAAGTCGACCTCATTTAGGACGAGGTCGACCTAATCTGTTATTTCAGTGTAAAAACAGTTTCATGGTGCCTACTTTGGAGTTTCATGGTACCTCACTGTGTTTTTAATCCATTAATTTGGGTTTGTACACATACCTATATGCAAATTGCAGTTGGTATCTAAACATAATAGATCTATAGATGTAGTATCTTTTTTTTTGTATATAAGTACTCAAGTAATCGATGGAAAGTACCTAAATTTTTTGTATGGCATTTCGATACCTAAATTTTTAAAATTTTACAAATAAATCAAGTTTTACATATGTATTTAAAACACTCTCTAGTAAATAGGTATTCATCATATTTAGATTATGAAAACAATATTTAAACTCTATCCAAATTCATCTACAAACCCCTATATGCTCTACTCATGATCAATGAGTATATTTGAATTAGCATAAAATTACCTAGGTAATTGCCAGCCCTCCTCACCGCAAATATTTTATGGGCTGTCCGAATCTACAGTTTTCGTACTGGGGAAATGCTGGTGGCCGATTAAAGTCACTGATCATAAGATTGGGCCAAAGAATACACAAGCCCATCCGGTGGTCCACTGTTGCAAAGAGCTACGTTGTCACTTCTCTTCTCTATGATTAAAGACCACTCCTTTTATACTTTACGAAAGTAGTTGGGAAGATTTGGGTCCAACTCGTTGGCTTGTTTTGGATTATATACAATCTTACTAAATTGGATAAATACAATTTAATATTCAAACCTTTCATTTTAAACAAATTAATGGCCAAACCTTTTCGAAAACAATATAATATCCAAATCCTCAACTTTCCGTCCATTTGACACTTCAAAAAAGTTTTGTTTAGGGGAAATTGTCACAATACAACTTTGTTTTCTTGTTTTGGCATTGCAGATTACTGATATTTAGATATTCTATACCATCATGGTGGAGTCATGGACTTCTCGAGTTAGGAACCACGATATGTTGGTGGTTTTTCAGAGAAGATATCGATGGATATTGATGAAGCGTCATACTTCGAACTTTTTTGAAGTGTCAACTAACGGTCAAACGAACGGAAAGTTGACGATTTGGATATTAGATTGTTTTCGAAAAGATTTGGCTATTATATGTTTAAAATGAAAGGTTTGGATATTAAATTGTATTTACCCTACTAAATTCAATATACACTAAATTGCGGGAAACAGAAAATAATGGTCTATTTATGGGGAGGTTTGCGAAAACATTGTTCGGCTCCAAGTAGAAAAGTTGGACCCCAATTAAAGGGCCTACCATATGGGATTCCAACGCATTAGAAGAGAAAGGGTCAAGGGATTTTGGTGTTTGTATCGGGGTGTGCAATGATTTGGTCCGATCCGGATTAAATTCATAAGATCGTGAATTATTAATGAAATACATTTTAGAATCATGGATCGGACCATCATTATGTTCGGTCTATTTGGTCCGATTCGATCCAGTCCAAATATCAGTTCGACTTATCATTTATTCAGTAATTGTAAAATCCATATGGACCAAGAATCAGACCGCATTATACTCAGTCCAATATGGTCCGATTCAAACTTTGATTTGTTTCAGTCCGGTCCAAACTTATAGTTTGTTTCGGTCCGGCACAACCTTTGATTTGTTCGGGTGCGGTCTGATCCCAGACGGACCATTGCACACCCCTATTTGTGTGGATATAATTTAGGCTACTAAAGAAGATAAAAAGCACATGATCATATGAATAATGAGCTGCCCCTCTCTCTCTCCTTTTCTTCTAGTTTTTGTTAATTTAGGACCACTTTAAGGATGCCAAGAGAGAGCATGAGTTGTTATAATTCATAGGGAGCAAAGGTACAACTTCTAACGGCCCACACCTCTCACCTTCCCAACTGAATGAATGGACTTCCTTCTCTTTCTTAACTTTCAATCTCTATCACTTCTCGATGTGTACATGTAGTGTGGGGTTTGAAAATTTTGATTGCTTCGGACAAGTGCCAATTTTGAAACATCGATCGACAACATATCACTTAGGCACTGTGGAAAACTTTAAAAAGGAAAGTGTCAGGTCACATTTTACAGCCAACACCACAGATTAAGTGAAATTGGGGGTGAGGTCATACAAGCACTATTGAACTCAATCTCATCAGAACTCCAAAGTTGAATGTGATTGGACGAGGGTACTTCTAAAATGGGTGACCTCATTATCAAAACAATTGAGCAAAATTTATAGGATCCCGCCGATGGAAATTGAAAGTAAGAGACATAAATTTCACATAACTGTATGGTGTATTATACGATCTAAGAAAATTAAGTAAATCTTGGGAGCAGATCCCTTGCATAACTTTGAATAGCCTGCCACATCCTCATACATGAAATTTAACTAAAGTCATAATTTAAATTTTTTTTCACATATAAATTAGATCAATTGTGCTCTTCAAAATGATATCCAATTTAATATAATTTTTAACAACAAAATTTGAGACATTTATTATCATTACATACCATGGAGGTAAGTTTAAGTGTATCATGGAGCTATGAACATACCATAATGTAGAATGGTTGAATAAATGGTAGTAGAAATATACAAACTATCATTTACTACATTCATCATTGTTTACAACCAGTTACCACCTCTATAACAAGGTGGTATGTGGTGGTATGTTTTGGTCCTGTATTTTTCTTCAGAAATTCGTAGTTACAATCAAAGCAGTC